CTCCCCAAGCTGTACTCTCTGGGGACGGTCCTCCAAGAAGGAGCGGAGCCAGGCCAAAGCAAGGCCACCGATTCCCAACTCGGAGAGCCTCCCCAGGAGGATACCGTGGTCAATGGTTTCAAAGGCCGCTGAGATGTCGAGGAGGACCAGCAGGGACACTTTGCCCCCGTCGGCCTCCCTCAATAGGTCATCACACAGGGCGACCAATGCCGTCTCTGTACCATGGCGCGGCCTGAAGCCCCACGTAAAGCGTGATTTGCTTCAAAGTCTGAGGAAGTGAACACAAACCATGGCCTCTGAAAACCGCACACCCTGGTTCTAGCCACTGTCCTTTAGCACAACCTGTCTCACAGACTAAATATATGACCAGCTTCAGGCTCTTTTGGATGAAACCAATGCCCTGGATCCATTCTGGTTGGGCTTCAGGCTCTGCCACAGTATGGAAACGGCATTGGTCGCCCTGTTTGATGACCTGTTGAGGGAGCCCGACAGGGGCAAAATGTCTTTGTTGGTCCTCCTCGATATCTCAGCCGCCTTCAATACCATTTACCACGTTATCCTCCTGGGGAGGCTCTCCAAGCTGGGAATCGGTGGTTTGGCACTTGCCTGGCTGCAATTATTCTTGGAGGACCATCCTCAGAGAGTACAGCTTGGGGAGAGTCTTTCGGCCTTGTGGAGCCTCAATTGTGGGGTTCCGCAGGGCTGGATTATCTCCCCAATGCTGTTTAATATCTACATGAGTCTGCTGGGTGGGGTCATCGGGGGGTGTGGGGCTTCATGCCATCAGTATGCTGATGACGCCCAGCTCTACATCTCCTTTTCTCCAACCACAGTGGATGCCATTCTGTCCCTTCAGCGCTCCCTGGAGGCTGTACTGCAATGGTTACAGGAGAATGAACTGAGGCTGAACCTGGACAAGATGGAAATCTTGAGGGTGGGCGGCCCCTCCATTGATAGTTTCGGAAACTTCCTCTCTTGGGGGAGTGACTCTCACCGCAAAGAGTGAGGTTTGCAGCTTGAGGGTCCATCTGGATCCGGTGCTCACCATGGAAACCCAGGTGGCGTCAGTGGTCCACTCTGCCTATTTCCATCGCTGGCGGATTACCCACCTGCGTCCCTATCTTGATTTTGGGGTGCTCACCACTCTGGTTCATGCACTTGTAGTCTCGAGCTTAGACTACTGTAATGCGCTCTACGTGGGGCTACCTTTGAGATTGATGAAGCTTCAAATGGTTCAGAATGCGGTGGCCAGACTCCTCAGTGGGACGAAAAAATATTAGCATATTTTCCTCACTCTGGCTGCCTTGCATTGGCTGCTTGTTCGTTTCCGCATTGATTACAAAGTGTTAATGATGACATATAAAGCTTTAAACGATTTAGGACCTCAGTATCTAGCGGAATGCCTCCTCCCACCTAGATCTACCCGAATCACTCGTTCTAGCCAGGAAGGGCGGCTGAGGGGCCTAACGCTGAGGGAAGTCTGGAATGAAAGAATAAGAAACCGGGCCTTCTTGGCAATGGCCCCTCGCCTTTGGAACAGTCTGCCCCCAGAGAAACTTAAGACCTGACTCTTTAGACAGGCTTTCCCTCCTGTCGTCACTTGAATATTTTTTCCCATCTTGAACTATATTACTACTGTTTTTTATTTTATTTTTTATTATATTGTTTTATTTTATCTATTGTTGTTAGCCGCCCAGAGTAGACTTCGGTCTAGATGGGTGGAGTATAAATTTAATAAATAAATAAATACATAAAACGTAAATATATGAGGACGGGGGGAGGAGATGTTCCACCATGAGCTCTCTATAAGAAAAACATAACTAAATATACTAAATAACATTTAAAAAAATTCTTGGATAAAACCTGTGGCTGTTCAGATGCTTTTTTGCGTGGGAATTTGAGAGTTCCCCACTCCATAAGAGATGGCAATATAAATGCAGATGCAGCATTTGAACTATATAGCAGCATCAGTATACATGGCACTCGCAGAGTAGCATCAACAGGAAGACAAAGTCCAGATCCTGGTAAGGGTTTCAGGAAAGACGTTGTGTAAAGACGAATGTTTGATTTTTAAAGGTAAAATCTAATAGGACAGTTGTGGATTGCGCAGGTCTTCGTACAGCTTTGTATCATTAGCAAGCTTATGTTTGTGACTTTTTAGGGGTCTCGTAATAAAAGTATCACCCTCCGTTTCAGATTTTGTACAAAGACTACATGCCCCCCCCCTTTTTATTGTTATCCATTCCTTTGCAAGTTTATTGTAAAGCGAGTCATTTTGAATTTGTTTGGCCTTGGTAGAAGTGCATAGGATTACAGACTTGGGCCTCTGTAAAAGCAAGAATATTTGCAAGTATACCTATAATATTCGCGAAGGCTTTCATGGCTGGGATCTAATGAAGATGCCGACCACAGAGACTGGCGAAACGTCAGGAAGAACAACCTTCAGAACACGGCCAAAGAGCCCGAAAATCCCAGAACAACCAATACCTATAATATACTTGTAAATATATTATATTTGCAACATGGAGTGATACTGCTTGGGGTTCCAAGCAGCTAATGATGCTATATTCTAGGACTTTCTATTCTAGCTTTTATATAAATCCCATCCATTCTTAAGCCTACTATTCCTTAGCCATCCATGTTTAGTTTCCATTGGAATGTTTTCAGTGAAGAGTGGATTATATTTTTTTGCAAACCACACGTTCCTCCAAACTAGCCAATACTTTGCTCTTTTGTGGGGATATTGGCTTGAACTTGAGCCTTAATATGTGTTCCCATTTCCCACATATAACTAGGGAACGTGTATGCCTAGAAGTCAATGATATAGTATGGCTTTTGCACTTATGCTTGATTTGGCTAGCAGGTGATCTGAGAGAGCATTTTAACTAAATTGGCAATCTGAGAGGTATTGGAGATATCTAGAAATCCAAACCAGTTTCTGTTACTACTGGTTTACAGCAGTAACAGAAAGTTCCATGACAGAACTGAATTTAAGCTACTGTCTCTTCAGTTCAACCTTCCAATTTGCATTGTGGCTATAATAGTGAACTGTATATTACAGGGTTATGGTATATAAATATAGCATAGCCATGTGGTGTATACATATGGTGTGATGCGGTGGGTGTGTATGTATGTGTGTGTTGTACCTCACCTTTCCATTAAAAGATAGCACTCAAAGTGGCTATATTGTTTTCTCGTCTGAGCTTGTAGTCTTGAAATAATAAGCAGTGCAGAGCTATTACACATAGATGTGTAATATCTGTGGTCAATCCTCCAGAGTTCTGTAAGCCACTCACAATTTGTTGTGCATTATTCAGTGTGAACTACTCTGCAGGGATATCATAAGCCATGCTGTCCCAGCTACAATACCTTCAGAC